CTCGGCCGCGCTCGGGTGTCGGAGACCCCTCCTCCTTCCCGCTTCCGCGTAGCCGGCCACTCTGTGCACTTGCTTAACTCCAGACACCGCCGCCCCGCCCGCACACACCTGGCCCCCTCCTCACGCGAGGGACCGCGCGCGTCCTTGGCACCCGTACCCCTCGGGGTTCCCCAGGGTCCATACTTTGAGCACCTGCTGTGGGCCGGCAGCGTCAGGTTCTGAGAAACTTGAATCCTCATTAACTGCCTGTCCGGAGCCAAGGGATAGGGGTGGGAGAAGGTCAGAACTAGGAAGCAGTTTGCGATCGAGACAGCTCTTAGTGAAATCTAGCATTGGAAAAGTTAATAGCAGGTGAGCGGAGATGTTGAATTGTAAAGAATTTACTTGGAATTTTTGCTGCATTAAAGTAGAAGAAAGAGCAACGACCCTACTGCTTGCCCTAACTCACCTGCTCCCCATCACTGTTTCTGTCCTTTTGTAGGTCTTGGCCTGTGGTAGTCTAGGAATTTTAAAGGGACCATCAAGTTCAGTGTAACGGAGCACTCACTATTGAGTCCGCCTTAGGAACTTCAGAAATATTGATTTCTAGACAGGCTACCCGTTTTTATTTCCTGTAGAAACATCAAATTACAGTATCTTTGTTTTTTTACTTTGCCTTTTAACAACAACAACAAAAAAATCTGTGGCAGTAGGGACTTAGGGACTTGAGTCTTACAGGCTCAATTTTCTGACTGTAAAACGCGGATATTGACCTTCAAAGGGTGTTAAGGATTAAACGAAACAAAGGTACAACTTCACTTAATACTGCAAATAACATTACATGACTAGTAGTGACAGTGTCTCCTTTTATCATTTAATATTTTGTGCTTTATTGTTTGCTTTATCTTACTATTACTTGTTCATAAACTTACACTTACCCAGTCTTCAGCCTGCTCCCATAGGAATTGGAATATTAATAATTAACGTTTAAATAGCAAAACCATGTGCTATGCACTGTTTTTATCCATTTTTATTTCATTTAATATTCAAAACAACCCCATGAGTTAAGTCTTGTTATTATTCCATTTGTAGCTAAAGAACCTGAGGCACAGACAGTGTAGGTGAGTGGCCAATGTTCACAGTCATTAAATATCAGGAGTCAGAATTTGAATTCACATCGGAAGTTGAATTGGTCATTAATCAGTCTACTTTGAATTCCTGCTTCTCTCGTTTCAATTAACTAACACTGAGGGATTAAGAAAATTCCACAAGAGCATTTGTGGAGAAGGAAATATTTTATTTAGTGCTTCTAGTGAATTTATATGTTACTTAATTGCAGATGAAACAGAATTTAGAAACTTTATTGTTTGGCTCGAAGACCAGAAAATCAGACACTACAAGATTGAAGACAGAGGTAATTTAAGAAACATCCCCAGCAGTGACTGGCCCAAGTTCTTTGAAAAGGTAATGCATTGGCAAATAAAGTGAAAGTACATAGAGCTTTTCTAAAAACTATATAATGCTTAAAATTGGTGGGTTTTTTTTTTCTTTTAAATTTAATGGTCCCTATTAGAAAAACTGATTCCAGGGATTTAACTTTTTCCTTAACCATTTTCCCTTTATTTTGGGGACAGTTACCTTTTCCTATAAAACTTTTGAGAATGAGAAATAGTTTTCTTCGGAAACATTGTGAAATTTCTTAAATGTATTAGATGTTATATAAGTGGTACTTTCCTTTCCTTTAGTGCCCTGAGAACAGAATTTTCATATTAGGCTAAGAGTACAGCAATAAAATACTTTTAGCACCATCTTTTATATTTAAAAAGACATTATTGACATGCTTAAAACTAAGACTGTTATTTTTATGCTTATATTTAATGTACACAGGTGTCCTTTCATATGAAGGAAATTGTTCCAAAAAGACCGTATTTCTGTGACTAGAATAATTTTCTTATTGATTTAACTTTAGTAATAGTTTTACAGAAAAAGTTGTTTTCAAATTGGAATAAAAATCACATTTTATAATCTCATTACTTATTAAACCTTTTAGAAGCTGTATTACTTTCATGAACAAGAGCAAAGGGACTGGGTATTTACTCTTTGGAAATAGTGATTCTATGCAGGATTCTGTACATTATACACTAATGCTGTAACTTTGGGCAGGTATGCCAACCTTCTGTCTCAATGTTTTCATCAATGAGTGGCATTAACGATGATACCTTGCCCATAGGAGTAGCTTTGTTGTTAGTGGGGATATACTTGTATACCTGTTCACTCACAGAAGTGTGTGGCCCATAGGGAGTGCTTTGTATTTTTTTAGTGCCACTGCCTCTACTTCTACTGGGTTACTTTTCTTTGCTCTAGAAAGTTTTGAAATTTTCAGTTGGCTTCTTTTTTTTTTTTTTTTTTCCCAGCCTTAATTGAGTCTATTGGCACATTTTAGGGATACAGTACAGTTACATTCATTGTTGGGATCTTGTACCTCTACATGACAAGTCTTGATTCTCATTTCAGTTGGCTTCTTAAAAATTCAAAATATATTATTAGGATTTTATATTTGTTTATTTTACCTCTTATGGTCCATTCATTTATATAAGAGAGTATAGAGTTCCACATGCCAGAGGGGTTTGAAGATCAAAATTTAAAGAATATAAAACAATTTTCTGGGCCGGGGATTTAACTCAGTGGTTCCGCCTCCTGCTTCGCAAACACAAGGTCCTAAGTTCGATCCCTGGTACCAAAAAAATAAATAAATAAAAATATCTGTCACTAGGTGACAGAGTAGGATAACTTAAAGAATGAATATATTGGATGCCAAACAAATCACTTTGGTCTCTTTGGAATGGTAATATTGCTTAAGCATAAAGTATTTCTTTTACAATCACTTTTAGATTGTGAGTCATAGCTTTTAATTTTCTTTTTCTAGTATTGTGAGGTGATCAAATCTTGTGAATGAGGTGTTTCTTTTTGTTGTTGTTGTTGTTTAGTTTTTTGGTTTTTTCCCCCCCTAAGGGAATAAAATTTGGGGTTAGAAAATGAGTTGTAACTAAAATGTAATAGCATTGTTGGAATTTTATTTTCTGTCTTCCCTCCTTCCTTTCTTTTCTTCAGTACTGGAGGTTGAACCCACAGCCTTCACACCAAGCAGCCCTTATTTATTTATTTATTTATTTATTTATTTAATTTTTTTTGAGACAGCGTCTCACTATGTAATTGAGACTGACCTGGAACTCACTATGTAGCCCAGACTGGTCTCAAACTCGCAGCAGTCCTCCTGCCTCAGCCTCCTGAGTGCTGGGATTACAGACAGGATCTCACAAAGTTGCCTAGAGGGAGCTGGAATTAGTGCTCCTCCTAACTCCTTCGGTGTAGGCATTACAGGCTCCCACTACCAAGCCTGGTGGAATTGGATTTTCATCTTCTAAAAGACTCATTTGAAGAGTAGGGTTCATTTTGATATGTAGCTTAATACTCAGCTATAGTCTACATGCATGTTAACATGGCTTACTCGATTCAGTTGCATTTCCATAATATAAAAGTAAAGTTTAGGAAATACCTGATTTATGTGTAGGTCCTTCTTTTTCAGATTGCCCTTTTCATTTATTACGCTATTTGTATTGAGATGTAGAGTCAGAAAGTCTCAGAGCTAAGTCTCAGATGTAAGTCATGTAACCACTGGCAAATGTCAGTCATGGTTGGCCTTAGTTTTCTCCCCTATAGAATGAGGAGGTTAGTGTAGATCTCAGGTGTCCCATCTGGGATCTGCAAAAGTAAAAGTTTCAAAAAAAAGCATGATGAAAGTATTTTACTTTTCTTGTAGGATGGTGCATTTAAGTGTTTCTTCCTTCCGGTTATATAGTTTAGTACTATAATTTACTAGAAATTCAAATTAAGGTCTCTTACAACTCTACTATTCTTCTAGTTCTGTGACTCTGCAATAAAATATGGTGAAACAGGATTTTTTTTCTTCACAGTATCTCAGAGATGTTAACTGTCCTTTCAAGATTCAGGACCGACAAGAAGCAATTGACTGGCTTCTCGGTTTAGCTGTTAGACTTGAATATGGAGATAACGGTACGTTTTGTGATGAATGTGTGCTTTTTTGTTGTTGTTGTTTTTTGGTACTGGTGATCCAACTCAGGGCCTAGTGCTTGCAAGGCAGGTGGCAGAACCACTGAGCTAAATCCCCGGCCCAGGAATGTGTGCTTTTTAAAAAGAGATGATGAGAAAGGAAAAGTGAAAGTATGCGTATGTGAACTTAGTTTATCTTATATTCTTTGCTTTGGTTTATTTTTATCTCAAGAAGTTAAAAGCAACTTTCTGTCATCTTTAGTTGCTATTGGTAGTAATATTTTCTAGAGAATGCTGTCTTCCCAACAACGTAACATTATTTTGGTAAATTTGCCATCTTTCATAGCCTATACCTTAATTATTTACATTAAATTGTTTGTATTTCCAGAATTGGTGGGATTTGGGGGTGGTGGTTGAAGGAGTCATTTCACAGAATCTGAAACAACTATTTAATGTCAATATACACTGTAGGCCACAATACATGTCGTGTATTTTATGTCTTATCACATATGCGTCTATTAGAAGCTTCTGAATACTAATGTAGTACCTATAGTAAACTCCAGTTTTCATTAAATTTGTTTCCTTTCATTATTCCATTTCATTTGAAAGGTCTACCAGCATCTAAATGCAAGATCTGATCGTCTTATCTGCTCCATCCTTGACTTTATGATTTTACTTTTATGGGATTGTCATTTCGTTTCTTAATCCTTTTCTTTTGGAGCCTCTTTGATGTGTTTGGCTTCTCCCTTTCCCTTTCATCCTGCTCCTGTTGATGTTTTTCCATATTTGTTGTATAGCATCTTCTCCAGTCCCACTGCTATTAATCCTGTACTTTAGCCTCTTGACACTTTCTGCTAAGATTATAATACCTTCTAGTCTTCGGTTGTTGTCACCCTCCATTCTCAGTGGCATGGCCCACCAGGCTAACTTTCTGAAACATGAACCTGTTTTACAATGCCACCTGTTTCCAAAGAAGAGCTCCAGTTACATTAAAAAATCATTGGTTTCCAATTTTGTCCAAAATAAACTTCAAGTTTTTTGACCTAGTATTTCAGTTTCTCTCTACATATGTAAATTCTACCACCTTACTGTTTAGCAGAAGTAGTATCTCCCTCTGAACTTTTATAGCTTTTAACTCTTCACCTGCTAAGTCATTTACTTGCTTCTGTCTTATTTACCTGTTATAACTGTTAACATGTTAGCAGAAACTCTGATTTAAAACATAATTTCTTGTTTTGGAGTCAGAAATCCAACACCATTCTCTTTTCTACCTTCTGCAGACAACGCCCTTCTCCTGTCTTTTAAACCCAGTGGTGTGGTATCTTCTGGTGGGTTTCTCTGCCCCTCCCTCCATTGTCATGTCTTTTTCTCTTGACTGTCTCCCTCTGTTTGGAAGCTGTGATGATAGTGGGCCCACCTGGATAATCTTCCCATTTGGGAGTCCTTAATTCAAATGTGTGGGAAGTCCCTTTGCCATGTAACATAAACACTTTCTAGGTATTGGTCCGCCGACATGGTTGTGGGGGATCATTATTCTGTGGGCCCTGGTTCCTAACAGTTTCTTGCACAAATCAGGTCCTTACCAACTTCACTGCCAGGCTCTGTATCTGTGTTTGTTAATGTACTGATTTGGACATCAGCCCATTGGTTTTTGCTTTTGCCTGAGCCTTATATTTTAGAAGTCTTGTAACAAATCTGAAGGAAAGCTCTAATGTGACACTTTTTTTTTTTTACTTTAATTTACAAAGAAAATAGTTTACAATTTTAGTTTATTGTACAAAGAAAATAATTGAGTTAGTTTCTGTTTAGAAAATAAATGTAATCATAAGCACTGTGGCCTTGTTAGCATTAACTGATCTTCAGGACCTCTCATAATGGTCTTTTGCTCTGTCCTGCTCTGGGCTGATAGGAATTATGTGTGAGCTAATTTGCAACAAAGTATTTTCCACCATAGCAAAAGTGTTTTATTGGCTGTTCCCAAATAAATTTATAGTCATATAGCAATTTCTTTCTGCTTTACTTTTGTGTATTCACATTTTTGTGAATTGTTTCATTTTTATAATCCCTCACCCTTCAGTGATAGGTACTATGTGATCAGTATCCCTATTGTTTGTTTTCTGTACATTTATTTCTCAGGAATAGCATAGTCTTTTATGATAGGAATGGCATAGTCTTTTTTTTAACAAAAAAAAAGCTCATGCATGAGATGTTTTTTGATACTGAAAACAAACATACAGTTGAAAGGTAAAAAGTATCAAAATTGTATTAATAATCTAGAGGAAAAGCTTTGTTTAATTTTAAAATTCAGAATGCAAGAACAAGATTGGTTAAAGTTGTAATGCTGTATCTCAGCAGCAGAAGGTGCTGATGTGCTTTTGAGGTTTTGTATTGCTACCCTTAAAAAGTTATGATTTTTAAATCTGCTGAAACCATTGCAAATTTTTATTATTTATTGCCATACCATTAGTCTTTCACTAGCTTGTCAATTAGTGATTAAAATCTGACTTAAAATTTTTGTTTTACTTTTGATGTGACTTCAAGATATACAGGAAAACTGTAGACTAGTAAAAGAATTTTCATGTACCCAGATTCTGCTTTTTACTTCATTTGTTTCATAGGCACACAACACAAATGCGCACACATTTTCTAACCTATTTCATTATAAATTGCAGATAATTATTTTACTTTTAATATGCATTTTCTAAAAGTGACTCTTAAGCACAGTGATCAAAATCAGGAAAATAGCTTTATACAATATCATCACCTATAGATGTTATTCACATTTCAGCAACGGTGTCAATGATGTTTTTTATAGAATTCCACCTCCACACACACACAAATAGAAATCTAAAGCGATCCTGGATTGCATACTGCAGTCCGCTTTATAACTCTGAACTCCTATGATTTGGAAACCTTCTCAGTCTTCATATATGCTTCATGAAACTGTACTGACATTTGTTTTGTAGAATGTTCCTCGGTTTGAGTTTATAGATTTCCTCGTGATTAGGTTTGAAGTTGTTATAAACAACACAAAAGTGACAAGTTCTTTGGAGTGTGTCACACCAGGAAGTATGATAGCGACACATCCCATTATTGGTCGTGTTAACTTTGATCACTTAGGGTGTGTCCACTGTCATGTTACTGTTTCCCCTTTGTAGTAAATAGCGTAACCTACCTGGGGAGATACATGAGACTATTTGAATATGTTTTTGGTGCTCAGACATCTTCCCTCTAGTTTAAGCATCTGTTTAATTCTGGCATAAATCACTTATGTCATGGTTGCTAAAAGGTGTTTGCAGTCCCATCATTCCTTCTGTATTTGCTAACTTTCTGATTTGAGGAGTGTTCCCAGCTCTCCAGTTTATTAAAATCAGCATAGATGCACAGATTATTTTTACTTATGGGTTGGGTCATGATCTTTTTGTCATGTATCTTGATGTTTATAGTACTCTAGATTCGGCCAAATTCCAGATTTTGGCCAGATTTTTAAATTTTTTCTTTTCTTGTTTCATTAGCAAATCATATAGTTATTATAGCCTAAGATGCCATTTTGGGCATCAAGTTTATTGATGAATTCTTTGTATTTTTCAAATGGAAGTAATAGTCTACTTTTGGAATTCTGAATTTCACATTTCCATGATAAGTTCTAGATGTTGTATTTGAAGTGATAAGTTTTTTAGAAAGGAAGGTTTTTAGATTCTGTTTATATTTTGGAAAAAATCTTTAGTAAGCTTGTAGTTAATCTTATGTAACCTTTTCTCATTCTTCTGTCCCATGTTTTAGAGTGTTCTGTAGAAGCAGACTTTCACTGCTAAAATGTAGATGTTTGAAATAATTGCCTTTAGAAATGTTCTTGAAATATTTGTTTCAAGTATTCCAGTAAGCGTGTAGCTTAGTAAAAGGTTACAGCATCTTCTGTCAGATACTGTATAGCAAAAAATCATTTTCTCATTGTATGTCATATGTTTATAATCAGTTTGGCTCAGTTAAGTTCAGTAAATAAACTTTGTCTATTTTACCATAAGTTGCAGCTCTACAAATTATACTTTCACATTTTTTATAGCTGAAAAATACAAGGACTTAACACCTGATAATTCAAAAAATACTGACAATGCAAATAAAAATGCAGAGCCATTGATCAATTTGGATGGTGAGTACAGAAACACATAAAATTGATAAACACTTTTGCTTTCTTAAATTTTCTTTATTTCCTAGTATGAAGTCCAGATTTAACTTAGTTTTAGTTAAGAATGCTTTACTAGATAGCACTGATACTTTTTCTTCTGTGTATTGTTTTGTATTTTCAGTTACAGTCTGCTGCTTCCCTCTCCTTGCAGTTGAATATTTGAATGTTAAAACACTGTTCTTTGATTGGCACCAAGTTATTTGGGGTTGTGATTTATATTTAAATCATGTGGGTTATTGTTTGCCTTCTTTGTCAAATAAATTTTTTAGTCCAGTGACAATGAGGTAAGTGCTAGAATGTATCAAGTCCCATGTTTCTTTTAGCAATTCTTTCCCTTTGTTAAAGAATAATGATTCTTTTACAGAGATTATGATAGGTTAGATAGACATTTTCACAGTTTCAGTGTGACCTATAATGTATGAGTTACATTATGAGTGAATAAACGTCTTGGGCACTCTAGAGCCACTGCTAAGAGAGAAGGTTTGGGGAAAACTATCCATTGAAGGAATCTGTATTAAATTAGTAGCTTTAGAAAGAAGTGTTAATTAAAAGTGCCACATAAATGGGCCTCACAGTTACAGGACAAATCTTATGTGAGTTAAATTAATCATTTATCAGGTTATTCATTCTGGCTGGTGAAATACATTAATAGGAAAATCATCCATTTACCAAATTACTGATATTCTGTACCACATTTTTTTTTTAGGGCAAAAGAGATTTGTCATTAAATGAAAATTAAAAATGTTTTCTCTAAGTTTATATGTTTACACATAAGAGGGTTATGTGTTTGCTGAGCTACAAAGGCTTTGTTATTATTCATTTTTAATCTTTTGTAGTAAATAATCCCGATTTTAAGGCTGGTGTAATGGCTTTGGCTAACCTCCTTCAGATTCAGCGCCATGATGATTACCTGGTAATGCTTAAGGTGAGTAGCGTGTTTATTTCTGACAGAAAGACCATGATTGAAGAACTACACTTTTCTAAGTATTGATAATTAAATTTATGGTTGAGTGACTAAAATACAGTAGAGGAATGTGGCCATAAAGTAGATTTCATATTTTTATCTGTTTTAGATGTCTGATAACTGACATCAGAGAGTGGTAACGATGTGACTAACACAGTCCTTAATCTTTACCAGGATAATTTTCATTTACTCCACCTAATAATTACAGAGATATATGCTAATATCATTTTTCAAAAAAGTATGTACACAAACTAAGAATAGGATAGATAATATTCAAGATGACACAAAGTAATAGAGGCAAGAATTGTATCTAAGCACTTTGACCGTGTAGTTCACTTTTTTGCCTACATTACCCTACCTCTGTTTGGTCAGTCCTTTTAAGGATTTGTGGTTTATATTTATTAACAGTGGAATACACCAAATGAGTAATGGGGACTTGGGTCAAAATTATATATATGGGAAATGAATTTTTCCACTTTTGATTCACTCATCCTAGATAGGCCACTCAGTTCTTATCTTCACATCAGGGAGTAGTAATCTAAAGAGCTCTTATTTCTGAGAGAAGATGGTACGCTCCAGAAGATTTACTCCTAATAAATTGTAGAAGTACAAGGCAGGTAGAGCAGGAGTATGGTGTCTAAAACACCAGACTTGGAAATTATTTTAGAAATTGTTGATTTTAACAAGAGATTGAACAGGTATTGTACATATAAATTATTTACTTTGTAATACTAAATTGAATAAACTTCACTGTACCCAGAAGGGATTAAACAATAATGTAGCCTACTTTTTAGAAAGTTTGTGCATTAAATGGAAGTTTTAACAAAGGAATTACCATTTTATTCCTATCTTACTATAATTCTTTACCCCGAATCTAAATGTTAACTTGGATTTTCTAAGCCCAGATTGTATATAAAAAAATGAAAAGTTGTTTGTAGTGAATTTAGCTGCTTCAAAGGCTTGTTCCTTCTGTTACGTATGTTTCCTAAGATTAGCTCTGCAGTGGTCCTGTCAGCTTTAATTGTAGACTAAATGAGGAGAAACAGACGGTGCATAGCATATTTGGGGTGGCTTTGTGAAAGGGTTTGTAAACCCAGTTGGAGAAGTGTACATCAGCTATAAAAACTATAAATTCTAGTCCTAGCTACATGTTTATCCCCTTTAGGCTCTTTTTTGTTTGTTTGTTTGTTTGAGACAGGGTCTGAGTATGTAGTTGAGACTGCCCTGGAACTCACTGCATAGCCCAGGCTGGTCTTGAACTCAGCAATCCTCCTGCCTCAGCCTCCTGAGTGCTGGGATTACAGGCATGCACCACCACACCCAGCTTCCTTTGGGCTCTTTTAAAAAGCATAAAAATAATGTGTGATAATATGGAGAGGATCTTAGGTTGCCAGGTGTGAGAATCAGTACATTAACTATTCGGCATCACTCATTGTTAAACATATATAT